GTTTTTATAAGTGTTACTAAGCTTAACATTACTTCTGGAGCTGTGTTGGTTTGCTCAACAATAAAATGTTTGCAGGTTTTATCATTGATTTAAGGTAAAATATAAAAATTAAAAAACCAGTGTATAGCTTAACACACTTTGTAAAGAGATAATACAATATAATTTTGTAAACATTTTACAGTAAAATAAACCTTACCGATATTTTAACTGTAGTCAGCAACTTTTATTTACCAAGAGTTTTCTTAACAAATCTGCTTGTTACTGACAAAAAGACACCCGGGGGTTTATGTGTTCTAGCACGTCATCAATTAGGACAAATGGAACGGGGGACCTCACGCACATTGAGTGTCAAATCCCCTAATTTCTGGGAAATTTTTCCTTTTTATTTTTAACGTTCTATAACACGAAATGCTTTTAAAAAAGTATATATTTATGCTGGTTATTACTAGCTAAATAGGATTTAACATGGGGCTAAATATTTCGTGAAGTTATATCATCACTTACCACCACATTGACGTTTACAAGATTTCTAGTTATAACTAGATGAACTACAAAGCAAGAAGATGTTATTGATAAATTTACAGATTCTTTTATTACAAAAGAAAGTTTTAGTTTTTTAATTTGAGAGAAAGGCCACAATTAAATTGATAATAACTTAACCTCTAAAATAATTGAAGCATTTGTTTATTAATTCAACTTTATTGATAACCAATTAACAACTGAAATAGAAACTTGTGTAATTTGATATTTTATGTTTGGATACATTTCATCAACCTCGTTGTTTAAAATTGTTTTGAAATCCTTTACACAAGAGTATAACTTATCAAGTTTCATAGCTACATTTCATACTAATCATCTCAGTCTGGTTAAAGCTGTTTACAACAGAAATGTATTGTATTATTTGGACTAAACCTAATTATGTGGAATTTGGTGTTAAAACGATTGACCTATATACTATTAGCACAGGTTGCGTTATATGAGCTTACCATTCTGCAATACTTTGTTCGTTATAGGACGCTTTAAATATTAAATTACATTGTTAAAAGTTTAATAAACTGGAATAATCTGCTTCCAATGCAAGTACATAAAGCCCTTAATGTTGTACCAAAGAATTTATTAATTAATATTTATAACAATATGCATTAATATGCATATATATGCGTATATTAATATATTGTATGATTTATAATACAACTTTATCAGTTCAGATTTATAGCTGAAAGAAGGTACAGTGAAGACTATGAATTTAAAAAATACAAGATGATTTATTTGACATAATCTTAAAACATAAAGATGATTTGGTTAAAAAGCGTAATATGTTATAAAATCCCACATACACAAGATAAGGTGTATATCCCGTTAATAATCTTACATGAAAACAAAATTCTGAGTAGGCAATTTTTCTGATAACTATTATATAATCTTAGGACATTGTTTGTGGTGTAATAATGTTAAGTTAATGTTGTATTATTAATCCATTCTTGTAAATAAGTTATAAGAATTACATGACGTTTCTTATAATACTTCTTATAAGTGGAAGTATAATAAGCTAGTAAAACATATATACCGAAATCAGAACAAAAAGGGTGTCATAGTGATACAGTGTACATCGTTGGAGCTAAGTATAATAAATAAAACCTGAGATATATGAACCTATTTCAACATTAACTTCAACAACCTGAGACCAGTAACAGTTAACCACACTTTTGTGTTAACAGTTTTGTGCACTTATTCAAGAGAACCAATCTTCTTGTTTTTTTGATAAAATGTTAGCTCTTATTGTATTACACAATCTCAAAACTAAATTTTGTTTGTTTCCATTTTACAAGGATTACGTACAGTGTGGTTTGTGCGATATATTTCGTTTTTTTTATTCATTTTAGAACTTCAAATTGGAAAAATCCATGTTTCAGGAGGATTTATTCTATTTCGTCACTGGGCACTACTTTAATATAAATATCCATATGCTGATATACCAATCAAGTTATTTCAAACTTTTACTTTTGCTTAAATAAAGAAAGCGTTTTATGTTTTAAAGTCCACAGTAACTTCTATAAAAGAAATACTTCAACTGTGTTAAATTATTGGTTCCACATATGGATGATTTATTCTTCCAGAGTTTTAAGGAAGTGATATAGAAACCTGTGATAGTTAATATAGCATAGTCAAAATATAGATACTAATTATTCCAATAAGTTACTATGAGGAAGCTCAAGCCATAGCATTAACCAAACAATATTGATATTACATTTACACTTGACCACAATATATTAGTCGCTTTTTCACGGTAGTTAAATATTGATAATTGGTTATTATCAGAATTGAATTGTATAGCAACATTATAGTTAACAACCAATATATTGGTATTACAAATCCCGTTTTGTCAATTTAATACTGTATAACACTCGTTAATATATCTTTTAAATTTAAAATACCCCCGCCGCAGCAAACCTGCCGTCTAAGCGAATTTCCATGTGGCCGAATTGATTTTCAATTGATCTATTCAAATAACATTAGGTTTAACGAGCACCTAGGTTTGCTGCTACAAGGAAACTAATAAAGTAGTGTGTTTTTAGTAAAATATTGATAGCTTACTATAAAATAAATAAATTTGCCAAGTTTGATTAAAATATATCCATAAACAAGCAAACTACAACATTTTACAATATTCTCCATAAGAATAACATGGTAATTTTAAATTTACCATTTTTTTAGTTTTCTCCGTAACCAATAACCGTACAAAAACACTTTGATATACTGAATTGTTTGTTTTTTTAAGCTCTTTAAGAAGGTTTAGAGAAAAGTTGGGAAATTTTGTGTTTTGAGGGTAAGAAGTGAGAAAAACCAATTTTTACCCCATAAAACCCTGTTCCCATGGTCCGATCATGCTGGATCGCGAACTCATTCAAGTTTATCCCGCCTTACACCTTCAAACCAAATTTAATCAAAATCGGATAAAAATTACTCAAGTTATCGTGTTCACGGACACATATATATATATAAATATATATATATATATATATATATATATATATATATATACATATATACAAATTTGAACGAATGGTGTTTTTGGCCTCTGGGGACATTAAAATGAAAAAGTAAATCGGTCCCGGGCCTAAGTCTTACCATGAGACCTACGGTAATAGCTACTTCCCTATAGGGAAATTCGCTAAAAGGTAACGTTTACTAAACATAGGAAACCTAAAAAAACTATTTAAAATGTTTTTTTCTATATAAAAGGAGTAATGCTTTGATGGCTCCGATCCATCATGAGTTTATATTATATGTTAACACTATTACAGGTTTGCTAGGTTCGGACCCACATAGCTAATTTAGCGCTCCCGATAAGGAAGTATAACCTTATAGGAGTAAATAAAATATTTAACTTATATCAAAGATGCAGATTTGTGTTTCGCTTTTGCTCCTATTTGTTTTTGTGCTTGTTTGTTATTGTTCCTATTTGTCCTATCGTTATCCTTAATGTTTATTTATTTACTACTTGTCATGTTTTCTGTTGTAGTCTTTGGTGACTAACTCACTTGTGTTCACTTACTGTGTTATCTTCTGTGAAGTTATCCTGCCTGAGATTTCTTGTAGCTACGGACGTAACCTGTGAATAATTTTGATATGAACTGGTTACTGCCAGATGTTTTCTTAAAGTAGCTTAGACTAAAATAAAACATTTAAATAAATATGTATTTACTATATGTTTTAATAAGCAAAGTAAAAAAAACATGTCGTAAGGGAACGAAAGTGAATGCATTTACCCGTTCATAGTAGGAATAAATAATTAAGATATGTTATACTTTGATGTAAAGATTTCACCAAGCAACAGATCCGTTCTCTGATTTTTTTTACTTTTAACACCTTGCACCACCAAATAACCAATAAAGTCCCATAGTAAGTCATAAAAGCTTTAAGTATTGGAATTCTGAAATATTAATTAAAATTATTTTCATATAACTTATTTATTTAAATGGCCCTATTAGTGAGTTCATATATTAACACATTTATGGTGTATTGTTTTACAAAATACGTGCTTCTATCTTGTTACAATTCTAATTTGTTGCATTGTGAAATCCAATAGCAATTAGTAAATTGATATTTACAAGGTATTAGCCCGTCCTACGTACGGGAATTGAGTAGTCAGTTAAAACTGTGTACACTTCAGAACAGGCAGTTTACGCATAAATAAAAACGACGAAATACGAGGTAAATTGTCATGCATTCTTGCATTTTTTGTGTGAAAAATCATCTTGTAAACAAATGTTGCTTGACAAAATAGGTTTTTATCCCATCATAGGCCTATACGATACGCATTTCAAATCCGATAATTTTACAATAAAACAGCAATTGTGACGATGTGAAAAGCGTTGAAGTGAGAGAAGATTTGCACAGACGCACACTGATTAAGTAAGTAACCTACAGTAAATATGTAATAGTCAATTGAGCAGTGTATAGACCTAGTCAATGATACCACCTTCCATCGCATACTATCTCCTGCCTCTTGCATATTATTTATCATTTATTATTTTGTTTCATCTTGATTTTACGCTAGGGGAAAGTAACTTGATGTATTTTATATTCAATTACACTTTAAAGTAAATACCATATTACAGAGTATCGTGTAAATAATAGGTATGGAATATTCGTTAAGCTCGACTAAATACAGCATATACAAAATATAAAACGCATTTGCTTTCTGAAATATTTAAATTGTTCTTATCCTTGCCTTCAAGCGTTCCTTTTGGCGTACAATAACAAATTACATTTATCGATCAACGAGTGTAATACTGTTGACTTTATATCATTCAAATTTATTATATTAAACGTTGGCACAAGAGAGAAATAAGTTTGCGAGGTAAGTTTATGCATAGTAGTAGATCAAATTCTCAGACATAGGGTAATGTGCAGCGAACACAAAAATATATATTTTTAAAAATCTGTGGTCACGGGTAATGTGCCAGGGAAACTATAAGAAAACACATGCTATGATATTCTGTGTATTTTGAGGTTCATCGTTATACATGATATATATAAACTGATAGTGGCAAAAAGAACAATATTTAAACAACACGTTAGATTTCGAATGGTTTGAGTTATAGCATAAATAATTTCGGTCATTAATTTACATAATAACTGCCTATCATATATATCTAGAATATATGAAGTTATTTTACAATTTATTAGTGCGTGTACACTTAAAATGCCTAATACAATCTTGGTAGTTATTACAGCAAGAATATATCGAAAGTAATAAGGACATGCCTTTATATTATCACAGCTCGCTTGATGAAGAAAATCTAAACTTCATTATTATTTTATTAAATATCTTATAATATAATACAATATTGGGGTATAAATCTACCTTTGTTAACTAAGAAACAATATTTCCTTTTTCAATTACATCTCCTACTTATATAAAAAAATCTTTAACTATACACCATCTACAAAATGTAAAATAAAATAATATGTATTTCAATTGTTATTTTTCGATGATCATATTTTGTGGTTTAATGTACTCCTTTTAAAAGCTACGTTTGAAACTTCTCTCATAATGCGTATAGTTTACCCATAAAAAATAACAAAAAGTTTTAGATAATTTTTGCCTATCTGGAATTTAATTATACTCCATACATTTAAAAATCTTTTTTATTGTTCGTCTGTTGTTAACAGCTAAAGTTTTGAATATCCCATACTTCGTTTATCACAAGGAAATTTACACGGCATTTTCTTTACATTTATAAGTATATTTGCACGATAATAGAGACGAAACAGTACTGTAGAAGAGAATGTATATAAAAATACTTTGAGTAAATCTACATCAACTTTATTACATACCCTGTGGCCTTTGTGGGTAAACAGATCAGCTTTGATATATAGCCATATTGCGGCTTGTATTTTACAGCTCTAAGTAATTTAGCACAGCAAAGACTTACATCTATGTTTACAAATGAGACCAGATTTATGATACTGACTAGAGATATCAAATATGTACATACTTACAAGATTACAACGTATACGTAAGCTATGTGATCAGTCAGAGATTCTAGGGAGGTCTATAATGTGTAAATGGTTAAGAATAATATTTACAAGAGTGTGCAAAAAAACATGATCCACCACATTAAAATAAAGTTTCATATACGAAAAAAAAACATTAAAACAATTGATTAAACAGTTTTTTTTTTGTGATAACACCCTATTTTACATAGCGAACGGAGAGATTATTATAAGAACATTGACGAATATTGGAGACTGCAAAAATGCGTTGCTTGATCAAAAACTGCTGGTAAAAAAGGTTTCTAAAAGTCAATGCATATAAGTTTTTTTTTTTTTAGCAGGTGTACTTAATATTTAATATCTGATGACATTTCTTTAAGTTTTTCCTTTTATAGTGATTGATAATTTTAAAATCCAAAGCTTCATTTGTGGTGGTGGGATAATATACGTAGTAATATAATAATGCTATTGATTGTATAGGATTTTATATTATGACTGAATAATCGTGGGTTTTTTTCATAGTTTTCATGTAGTACGTGTCTGCAGATGTATATGATAAAAAGCTATTTTTACAATAATTAAATTTGTTTTAAAACAAGAAAGAATTTCACGGTCTTTGAATATCCTATAGCAAAACTCCCCTAACACTACAGGTAAGCTAATGACTAGACGGGTCGACAGGTAACACATATGCTGTACATGTAAAGAGCAGGTAGCTTTTCCCCAGTGACAGATGACTCACAGCTGGTTAAGCGTCGTCGTCGTGGTGACCTCGTTCTCCCATTGGTCACTAGCCTTGCCAGAGCGGGCCGGGTAGTAGACGCAAGGTCCGGGCGACAGAGTGCGCGTTACTCTCATACTCCTGTGGAAGTTCTTGCCGGAACGTCCATTCCTCACGATGGTCGTCCCAGATCGGTGGATCTGACACAAGTGAGTTCCTCTGACGGAGTAGTTCCTACCGTCCCCGTTGGATATGAGGCTGTCCTCGTGGGTGGCGCCATCTGGAGAGTCCCTTCCTCCCAGGGCACTCGCACAGGTCAACATACCGTGAGAACAGAACATCTTGAGGAACAGCCTCTTGAACTTCTCCCCGAAAATGACGTAGATGACGAAGTTGATGGAGGAGTTGAAGGTGACCAGAAGGTTGCTGGTCTTGGTCAGCTGGTCCACGATTATCCCGTAGAAGTTCTCAAGCACGTTGTTCACCAGGGGGAGGATGTTGCAGACGACGAATACTACGACGACGCACAGCAGCATGGTAGCCAGCCCAATCTCTTTCTTTTGGAGGCGAGAGAGTCTCTGGCGCTCTTGGTTTGCTCGTCGTACCTGCAACACGTAATACACCTTCAATACCGGTTTATGGATACATTGTAGTTATTTCATTTTTAATTTTGTAAAACGATGGAAGAAGAATATATTTTCTCTTTTATTAAACTTTCATTTCACAGTTCGCAAGTACCTACTATACGTGTTCTGCGAGGATAGTTAGTTAATTGTAAGCACTTATGGGTGGCCTTACTATGAATTAAATATCAAGTGCTACCGATTGATGTGGTCTATGCCCTGAAAAATATCTTTACACTATAAGGAAGTAAGTTCATGGTTATTGTGCTTAGTTTTCATTGAATAGTAACATTGCACAACATGTGCATTTATCTGTATTTTACAGTCAAGTACGATAACAACTTGCAAAAGATTGTATGCATTGAAATTTGAACAGGTAATTATGTAGCAGTTTTTATTCAAAATATAAACTTTGTGCAGGTTTTAATTAACAACGTACATGAACAAACTGCCACCTCAAGGCAAGTTTCCTAAACAAACCAAGTTACTTGGTTAACAAGTTTAAAATATTTAAATAATTACGATGGATAGAATATGTTAAGTATTTAAACCTCTCCAAAGTGATATACCAAATGATGGGTGACTGGCTGAAAACTAAGTATTTTCGTAATAGTACTGTTATTTTATAATAGTTTACAACACTACTCAATGTATTAGTCTTAATTGGGATTGTTGGCTATGTCAGAATTCAGTTAAATTCAACCAAGTTCAAGTTCGGTTTCTTAGCCTCGATCCTAATATGTTATAAAACCACTCTAAGCATTACCTGTCTATAAATAGCACCATTGAGCACAGCTAAGCAGCTAAACGGCAAAAAATATATGAAGACCATGTAGAGCCAGTGAATATACACCGATATGTATATATTGTTTTTCCTAAGCTCTGACGGCTGCGTCATATACACAGTAGTGTTAGTATACGGGTGATACACCTCTACCACACTGATCTCCCAGAATCTCGATAAATTATAGAGAGTTGAGAAAATAATAATTAGCACCACGTAGAGCTTGGCCCGACCGTAGGTACACAGTGACCTGGCTTGCAGGGGGTGACACACAGCCACGAATCGTTCCAAGGTCACCGTCAAGGTCAAGTACACTGACACTGTCTGCGCTATCAAAGCTACAGGGAACACTATGAGACACAGGAAGGGGTAAATATAGAACTCGTAATTGTACAAGATGTCTGTCCTCGTGTACTGGTAGATAGCAGGGATCCCGAACAGGAATATAGATGTTACTATGAGCACAGTGTCACACCGAGCGAGGCCTATCAGTAGGTAGTTGATGGACGACCTCATCTGCGGCCTGGAGAGGATGATCATGGAGATGACATTCCCGATGATCCCCATCACCCCGATGAGGTTGAGAAGGACCCCGTAGGCGATGAACTCGAAGAACACCTCATCAGGATCCTGGTCGTCCAGGCTGTAGTAGCTGTCGTTGGTGGAGTTGGAAACCTCCATAGGTCTAGGTTTCGTTAACGTCCCAGGTGAGATAAAAGTAGAACGTCTCCGTAGATAGTGACGTCATAGTAGGAGGTGACGTCATAGTGGCACTCACATATTATCACGGTCAGTCTGGAACAATAAACACAAGTGTCAAAATCATTTTAAGGTGGAAAATCTACGCTTTAAAAACTTGATTTCAATGCATTAAAGGTTGAAATGTTTAAATAATTGCAGCCTTTTAAATTTGTACATATAAATCTGATATCTTTCTAGTTTGAAGTAAATCATTAAAGAGGTTCGAAAGTTGTACATGCATTTGAAAACAAGCAATCATTGCAGCTTTTAATATAAAATTTTGTTTCTTAAATAGCTAAAAACCGATGATTTCACAAACGTTTTAAATGGCCGCTATTTTGTTTTATGACTTTGAAAAATTGTCATAATTTGTTTACTTTTGTCTAGTTGTCATAAATAAGTTTAAATTTCGTATATTAACCACTAAAAAAAAGGGAAAAACGAAATTTTGGCTGTGTGACAAACTAAGGACTTTGAAATTTAAATATCATATTTAGATGTGTTTTTTAATCAAAAAGAAAATGCCCTAATATATTAATAGACTTCAAATACAAATCAAATCAAATAAAAATTTCTTTTATTCCGTATAAAAACTCCCGGGACAATCTATATAATGTAAAAAATATTGTAATTATATTGTAGTCTTTGTTTGAACAGTCAACATAACTGGACCATTGTTTTAGTTTTAGATTAAAAGATTGTTTTAAAGATATGATTGTTTGGTAAATAAGATGTGGTTTTACTCGTGATTCGTTTTAAAAATAGTTGAACATCTTTGTAAAAGGTTTAAAACTTTTTATAATTTAACGTCTTGTAAGGTGATCTTACTTTGTAAAGTTCTATTATTGTTTATGCTTCGAAAGTGTGTTTTTAATGGCTGGTTATTTCCTGCTTTAACCGTAATCAAGCTCAAATTATTTTCATCCGTTTCAATAGTCTTACTATTGAATATTATTAATATAACTAACGCATTTCAACGGATACAAGAGTTAATTCTTCGATGTAAATTAAATCTAACAGTAAATATTATGTAAGAACGTGAGAGTCGAAATAAAATAAAAAAAATAATAATTGAATGATTTAAAATTCTGTACATGTACAATCACAGTAAATTTTCAATCAAATTTCTTACAAATAAAGCCCTCTTCAGTTGTATACTTCTTTGTTAATACATTTTCCTAATTAAAAAGGGGTCAAAATATCGAAAAGAAATATTTTCATAATTTGCTTTCGTTGGTGAGCAAGATGTTTTCAAACCATGCTGTAGAAACGCTCAATAAAAGATGCACTTCATGCTTATTATAATTGATTGCAAGAAGTGCAATCATATTTAATTACATTCGATTTAGTAGTTTTGTAGTAAATTACGAAAATATTATTGATCATTTATATCTTTTTCGTATGCCCCATTCGCAGTGTTAAATATACTAGGTTTAACTTATTGACGTAAATTATATGTTATCAGGACTGAAAGAAAGTCCTAGGTAGTAGTTAAAACTGGGAAAATATCTAATAGATTCTTAAAAAACATTAAACAATTTCAAATGTTAGGTTCAACAATAAAAAAATTGTATACATTGTAACATTTAATTGGGGAAAAGTACTTATTTTTTGCTGAATTAATTCACTCTTAGGATGGTCCAATATGTCAAATCCAAAAATAACCTAATATTCACAATGTTTGGAAATATCAATCACTCCTTTATTTTTAGTAGTATTAAGTAGTGTAATTTTGTAAGGAGTCCAACTTTGCATACGTTTTATACAGTGATATGAAATATATTATATTTTATAAGTATCTACTCATAACATAAAATTGATTAAATGTGCTTATAATGTAAGCCATACAGGACAAGTAACAAACGAGATGTCTTGTGCCAAAACCAACACAATGGGACAAGTAGGCTACCAAGATAAACACGTGTTCTGTAATGTGTTCAAGACCCGCTCTTGGCTTACATAAATATGCTTCTACCATAATCGTATCTTTTACTAATTTAATTGTTACTCCTCATTGACATGAATATGACGATTATTTGTTGCAGTTTTTAAGAACTGAACATCATTTAAATAACGTCAAACTTAATATCAATTTAGTAACTAAACAGTTTTACTCAACTAAAACATACTATTCTATAATTTGTCCAAAGCTGATTTGCTTGCTAATTGCAATAACTGCCAATTTTAAATAAGGTATCTCATCAATATTTTTAATTTTAGACCAAATGTCTGATTAGTGCTCATTTAGCTAAATATTGGGTCATGATTAATTAAATATTCATTAAATGAAGTAATTGTAAGTAAAATAATTTAAAAACAGAGATTGACGGACATTTTCATCAATTAACTTGATTTATGAACGATTATCTTCCCAATCAACCATCTATTAATTAAAGGCTCCTTTACTGTATGACGTGAGCTTTGTAATAATATAATACTATTTGTCACATTACGTTTAATAATGTATAGCTTAATCAATGATAAATTATATTTTAATATTAAAAAACATTTACTGTACAAACGAATCAATCGTAGACTAGAGGAGAGGTTTAACATATAATTTAAGATTGAAGCCATGACTTAGAAATAATATTTCCAGATCATAAAAATAGCTAGAAGACTGAGGGCTATTCAGTAGTAATTTATGTCTTTGAATGTTTTTCAGGATCCAATATACTTTTTTTAATCTACTGCAAAGAAGACCAATATTTTATTATTTGAAATACAAACCTCGTATCTAACCCATGCTATTATATAAAGGTCTGTTGGAGTCTGTAAGTGTGAAGATTATTTTTATCTTTTGATTCTTTTTATGATAATTCAATACGTTATAATGAAATAATGTATTGTATTGTTCGATTTTCGACGTGCATCAGAGCAAGTTAGACATCATATTAAGTAGCTTAACAGTTCGTCACCACGTACCTTAATTATAATCAAAGATAAAAAATTAAAAACAAAATTAAAAATAAGCTATACATTATAACTTTTATTCTGTAAAATTTATCAAATCAATGGTAGAAGTGTAACTATGTCCTACAGGAAATTTCAGAGAACAAATAGCCCCCTTCCTTGTTATCTACTCGTTGCAAATACAAGACACTAGAATGACGTCAACTCAATACGTCAACCGGACAAAGGACGGGTACTCTGATAACCAGAGATACACTTGAGAAGGCAAACAATTTAGTGGGTGAAAATTCAAATTAATCATTACAGGTAAATGTAAAGGGTGTTCAAACTTATGCCACATATTTGTACCCTTTATGAAAAAAAATATTTCTGATACAAGGTTTGTTTGTGAATAGTTGAATATAGATTAAACCACGGTTTGTTTTCGTATTTCAGCACTTCTTTGATTCGACATGAATGTTCAAAATAAATAACCAATAGTACTGGGTTCAACAAAATACCACATGTAAATATGATCAAGTTCGGAAAAAAAAAACCTATGCAGACTTGTTTTGTTACGCATTATTGTCTAAGTATCGTCCATAAATGCACTTGTAATGGAATTTGTTAGCAGAATTTATTAAATCATATTGGAGCAGCAGCGTACGCAGGTAAGGTAGCCTTTGGAAGTTTAGGACCCCGAAAATATTAATAGGATGTATCTTTACAATCCGTTGACTTATTCGTTTGTAGTAGGCATCAATTTCCGTAATACTTTAGGAAGCTAGCATGACACGCAACAAACTTTTGCGTGGTTGTTTAATGATGTAATTTATACAACGATCAAATCTGTTCCTCAGTTTGTACAAAGTTTGTTGTTTATTGCTCTCATTTCCTCGCTGCTAAATTTTACTGTAGCAGAAGACCATCAGCGATTATAGTCGTTGACGCAAAATGGTTTACTTTAACCAGTTACACTTGACCAATTTAAGATATAATAGTAATATAATCAATTTATGTAGTAGGAAACCTTAGACCTATGTTTAATTTATATGCTTGATCATTATTTCAGTATTAATTTGTCTTTACTTCGTAAACCCTAACTAAGATGAAAAGAGTATGTATAAAATTGATAAAAATACTCTTGTAAGATTATTGTATAGTAACAATATGGCCTTAATGATTGCGCAATAACTGAAAATGTTCCAACAATCAATATACCGACTGTTCATCTTGAAAACAAAAATAATAGTAGTATTGTTATGGGTGCTTTGCGCGATGTGCAATTGATGTGCACTGATGTGCCAGACCACCCACGGTGGCACCTCCCCCCCCCCCCTCCCCCCTCCCCCTCCCCCTGCACATCCCCCTCCCACTGCACATCCCCCTCCCCCTGCACCTCCCCCGCCATGCACCTCCCCCTCCCCCTGCACCTCCCCCTGCACCTCCCCCTGCACCTCCCCCTCCCACTGCACCTCCCCCTCCCCCTGCACATCCCCCTCCCACTGCACATCCCCCTCCCACTGCACATCCCCCTCCCCCTGCACCTCCCCCGCCATGCACCTCCCCACGCCACTGCACCTCCCCCTCCCCCTGCACATCCCCCTCCCCCTGCACATCCCCCCCCCCCTGCACATCCCCCTTCCCCCGACACATCCCCCTCCCCCTGCACATCCTACACCTCCGGATGTGCTAGACCTCCCACGGAGAGAGGTGTAGTCGGCGCTCCCTCTGATCCTAGGATACAAAGGAATCCACTTAACAGGTGATTGACGGATCCATTATTTGAGTTTCTAAAAGCTTTTAGTAAGACTATTACATTTGACGAAGGTGAGCAAATCTTGACAAGCATCTAAAAAGCTTTGTTTAGTTCACTAACAAAGGAAAGCTTCTAGAACGTTCCTTCGATTGACGCCGACAAAGGAACACCTGTTGTTGTTTACCACTGGATCTTCGTGGAAGTTTCTATCGTTTCTGCGTCGCACATTCTTTACCCCCTCTCTCTGGCTACACTGCGTTACTCGCCCGTTCCCTTCAGTTAGGGTTTGGACTTTGCACGAGATGGCTGACAAACAACAACAGTGGGCGAACGATATCGACGACGCCGATTTACACCGGGCGTGCGTCGAGGCGGAGGAGCGGGATCGGGAACATCAGGCGAT